TATTTGGGTGTAAGAATCAACCCACTGCTGCTTGGGACCAAAGGTGTCACAGGATGGCAGGGGTTGGAAGGGACCTCTGGAGATCACCCAGTCCAACCCCCTGCCAGAGCAGGATCCCCTAGAGCAGATCCCACAGGAACACATCCAGGTGGGGCTGGAATGTCTGCAGGGATGGAGACTCCACAGCCTCCCTGGGCAGCCTGTCCCAGGGCTCTGTCACCCTCACAGCCAAGAAGCTTTTCCTCATGTTTAACTTGACCCTCCATCATGAAAGTGCCAGCACTTGTGCAAAGATCTCCCCAGAGGGCTGGGCTGCACCAGGGGCATCTGTCTCTCTTCTTCATGGTGGGGCTCTTCTGGTTGCAGTGCAGCAACCCCATGCACGGGTCCTGCAGGCACTGAGCCCTTATCAGCTTTTTGAGAAGGGGGACATGATGTTGCACTGACTCCTGCAGCCCCTGGGGATGGTTTGGTGGTTCCCAAAGAAACAGGGATGGGAAGTGGAGGAGGAAAAGCACAAAGCATTTAGAGCAAAGGGCTTCTCATCCTTCTCCCCCCCAGTGAGAACAACATGAAACCTGTGCAGCAGAGAACTGAATGCTTTATACTGGCCCAAATTTCATCTGCAGGGCTCTGCCTTGGGGTGATATTTGGGCTTAATTTGAGTTCAAGAGACAGAAAAGCAGGGAAATGATGGGAGGGCTGGAGCAGCTCTGCTCTGGAGCCAGGCTGGGAGAGTTGGGGGGTTCAGCCTGGAGAAGAGAAGGCTCCAGGGAGACCTGAGAGCAGCTTCCAGTGCCTGAAGGGGCTCCAGGAAAGCTGGGGAGGGGCTTGGGACAAGGGCAGGGAGGGGTGGGAGCAGGGGGAAGGGTTTCCAGCTGGCAGAGGGAGCTGGAGCTGAGATGGGAGGGAGAAATTCTGGGCTGTGAGGGTGGGGAGAGCCTGGCCCAGGTTGCCCAGGGAAGCTGTGGCTGCCCCATCCCTGGGGGTGTTGAAGGGCAGGTTGGATGGGGCTTGGAGCAGCCTGGGCTGCTGGGAGGTGTCCCTGCTCATACAGGGGGTAGGACTGGATGGTCTTTAAGGTCCCTTCCAACCCAAACCACTCCATGATTCTATGACAGGAGAGTCTCTTAAGCCCAAAAAAGCAGCCTGTCAATGGTGTCCTGCCCCTCCAGGTGAGGTGTCTCTTGGATAAGCTTGGTAGCTGTTGGTGCTTTGACCTTCTCCTCCTGGGAGCCAGGGCTCTGCAGTCTCAGATGTGACCCAACTTCAACATGATAGATGAAAATGTGTCCAAAAAAAAAGGCTTTTCTGAACCTCACCACCTCTGCCCATGTTGGCTCTGACCATCTGAGGTGAGCAAGGAGGGAGAGCTTTGCTCCAGGCACGAGGAAGGGCTGCACTTGGGAAGGACCACGGGTGCTACAAAGCTGTGAGATGTTTAGGATCCATCCAGGCACGTCTGGAGCCAAATTCAAGGGTGAATGTGGTAGGGTTTGACACGAAGCTGGAGACCACATGGAGGGCTTGACCATCATCTGCTTAACAAGTGGTTGGTGACTCAAAGCTCGATGCGAGGAGGTGGGAGTAGGTGCTGAGCCCAGAGTCCAGACTGGTGGGGACCAAGAGCTGCTCTCTCTGTATGCATCCTCCCTAATCCTGGAGGGAAGGAGCCTTTTATGAGGGGAGGGGGGTGCAGGTGTCCCTGTTGGTAACTCCTGGCCCACGGTTCCTGTGTTGCAGCTCGTCGCCCTCCGGAGTGTTTGAGAAGGAATATGACATTTATCGGGACTACAGCGCAGAAGGACAACTCCTCCACTACAGGTATCCCAGCTTTCCCTCTGGTTTTACCTGGATTGGGGTCTGCAACGTGGCCTTGGTGGTGAGGTGGGGGTGTGGGACAACCCTGGGACTAGGGCAGCGAGTCCCACCAGGCTTTTTTGTGCTCCTCTGCTCCTCCTTCCCATCCCCTCTTTGTCTTCTAGCTTTTCTGCCACCCTTCAGGTGCACCTTGGTGGTTCTTTGGAGCAAGGACCATCCACCCTCATGAGGTGGTGGTATCCTCCTCTGAGTGGCTCCATGACCAGAAAGTGAAGCAGGACAGGAGGAAGCACCAGGGTTCTCCAGTGATGGGGTCACAGCTCATGGTGAGATCCTGGTCTGCAGGGTTCCATGAGGCTCCACCATCAGTCTGGGGATGGGGTCAGGGCTCTTCTGGTGCTGCTGGTCAACCTCAAGGCCTGCCATCATGGTGAGGTGGTGGCTGGGCCATCTCTCCACACAGGAACCAGTTTCTAGGCTGTTTCTTGGGATGTTTGGGTGGAACAGAAGCAGGTTGGTTTGGGCATGGGTTGAACCCATCACCTGAGCGAGCCCAGGTGATTTGGTGCCCTGTCTTTGGAGGGGATTCCCTGTCATGGAGCAGTGATGGGGACGTGGAGCAGGGATGGAAACCTGGAGAGGTGCCAGGGAGATGGAGCAGGGGCAGGGAGATGGAGCAGTGATGTTCAGGATGGGGACCTGCAACGAGCTGCTCGTGCTACGTTTGATTGAGTCGCCTTCACCTCTTCCTCAATCATTCATCTCTCAGGCTTGATTGAGTCAACTTTATTGCACCATTAATTATTTCTCACCTTTTGATGGACCCACCTTTGTCCCGTCGAGTTGACAGTGTAGAAGTGTCTGGTGTCCAGTTGGTGGTGGCCACTTGTCCCAGACACACACACACACTAGATGTGTGGGACCAAATCTGGCCATGAAACCAGGGAGGAGAAGATCTCCAACCCCTTCTGGTTGCAACCTCTGTATTCATCCAAGCTTCCTGGGGAATCCTGTACCTCTGGAGCCATCCTGGAGGTGGGGCCTCCACATCTCTGGGCTGAAACTCCCTTGGCTGCTGGTGTCAGTTTTAGCTGAGGTGGCTGCGAGGTCACATTCCTCTCCCAGCAATGACAAAGATGCATCTCAAGTGCCAACAGACTTTTGCTGGCCAAGGAGACACCTTCCCAGCAGAAGCCACATGGTGGCCATCCCAGCTGTCCCACGTGCTGCTGCCAGCTGCTTGATTTGTCCACCACCTTGTTCAGCTCGGGCTTCACCTTCACAGCTGTGAGTTCAGAGCACCAGTGATGCCTTGGAGATCCGTGAGATCAAAATCCCACCTTTTGGAGCAAAAGTGAAGAGGGGTAAGAAGTTTTATCGCTGCTCTTGGGCATGATGCTGTGGTGTAACCTGGGCTGGAGCCTCTGCCCCAAGTCCATGTCTCCATGGGGAAGCAAACTCAGTCTCTTCTCCTCGTGCAGCTCAAGTCCATCTGATGGCTTCAATGTTAAGGTCTGAAGAGTCCTCCTGGAAGGAGCCCTCACCATAGGGTTGGGAGCAGTTTTCTCCACGCTCTTTGCCACATCCTTGTGCTTCTTCCATGTTCAGCCAAGTCTTGGAGAAGTGAACCATCACCCTCATCTTCATCCTGAGCCAGGTGACTTGCCTCAAATGCACGTGTGGTGCCCAAGTGGTGGACCTGTAGTGTCCACCTCAAGCAAGACCAACCCATCCTGCTGAAAGGCTTCCAGCAAACACACTGAGCTCCACCTTCCAGGACCTGTTCTTCAAAGCCAATGTGCTGCTGATGGCAGCACCTGGTGGCTCGTACACAAACCAGGGCAACAGGTCTGACCTGGTTCCTTGGCCCAAAGCTCTTCTCCAAGAGAAGAACCCACTCAATCAGCTTTGTTACAGCCCTGGTTAGCAATCAGCAGCTTCAAAGTCACCCATCTCCTGGGGTGGGTGGAGGAGAGGCCTGTGGGAGGAGGAATGGTCTGGCACATCAGCCCAACACCCATCCAGGCTTGGAGGTTGGTCTCGTAGTCCTTGGTCAAGCCCTGCCCTTGGGTCACACCGACCCCAGGCAACACTCCAGGCTTGGGAAGAGCAGCTGGGAAGTTCCTGGGGGGAAAAGGACCTTGGGGGGTTGGTCAGCAGTGGAGGGACATGAGCCCAAGTGTGGCCAAGAAGACCCCCCAGCTTCCTGGCTTCTGCCAGAACAACCAGGTCAGCTTCCCGGCTGGGAAGTTTCGTTAAGGATCACGGGAGGTTTCAGCTGGAAGCCCAGACATCTCAGTTCCCTGCAGAGATCAGGCCACCCCTTCCCACCCCTTGCCCACATTTGCAGGATGAGATTGAGGTGCTGCTGGAGCAGCTTCAGGCACTGGGCCAGGGAGAGGGAGGTTTTTCCACCATCAGCTCGTGGCTGATCCCGGGATTCGCGGCGGGACGCGCTCGGCCGCCCATCCCTGGCTGGGAGGAGACACAACGAGGAGGGAGACAACGAGGAGGGAGGACACACACACAGAGGACTGTGCCACATCCTTGGAACTGTGGTCGTTCCCAGTTTAGCAGTGGACTGGGGGAAGGGGATGGAATCTTCAAGCTCAGGAAGGTGATGGGGAAAAAAAACGTCGCGGGGAGAAGATGCGCCCGGATCTCGCGGCCGGGGGAGGAAGGTGAGGAAGAGCAAGGGCACAGGGGTGGTGGGGACAGCTTGGGGACACAACAAGGTGGTGCTTTTCCAGTAGGTACAAACCCCACAGGAGGCTGAAAACCAATATATTTAAATTAATTATTCCAATTCATCCCCTCCTCTGCCCCCCCCCTATTTAATCCTAGCGCTAAATTATGATCTTCAAAGTCCAGATAACACCAGGACAAGCAAAGACATCTTGAAAAAGAGAAAAGTGCTTATTGAAGTTGGTTTTGTGAACATCCTTCCTCCTCCATCTCATTTGGGGTGTCATTCATTTCATCTTAAAATAATTACGGTGCTGCTAAGATAATTACTCTTAAGCTCAGCTGTGACCTTTGATTCCCGAGTCCTACCTTGATTTCATGTCGCTGCCAATCGACTCCGTTCAAGGCATCACAGGAGAAATCAGGGCCATAAAAAAAGTCCTTCTCTTTCTGTTTTCATGGGAAGTGGAGCTGCGGGTGGTCTTAATGAGCGCGGGCATCAAAATAATTATCAATTCTAATTATAAACGGGGAGCGCGCGCCGAGCCCCGCGCCGGAGGTTTCTCCTCTGTGGTTGACTTTCCAAAGGGTGGGAGAAGATCAGGGAGGGGTTGTTGGAGCAGGGAGATTGAAGAGCATTTTTTTTGGGGGGGGGGGGGAGGGGAATCCTCCCCCTAAATAAACACAGTGTTTCAGTCCAGGGGAAATGATGCAAATTTGCATCGATCATTGATGTCGCTGATAGAACATTAGGGGGGATTTGGGAGGGAGTTTGTCACGGGAATGTGCTTGGAATTGTGAGTAAAAGAACCTTGGCTTCACCATGAGGAGGGAACAGGAAAGGGTGCCAAGCCAGGGAGAAGGGGAATGCTTTGGATTCCTGGAGGATCTCCCATGGCAGGAGGGTGGCAAACCTTGGGGCTCGTTCTCCTCTCGCGCTTCTCGTTAATCCAAGCCCCTGGTTTATCCCCCCCCCATAAAAGGCCTTTCCCAACATCCCTTTTGCAGGGCAGGAAATGTAATTTTAGCCACGTTTTGTGTCGTGTGGTGATAACCCAGGAGCTTTCAGGTGTATTGGTTGCTGTTCTTTAATGTTTTGATTTAAAGCTCCAGCTCGGTTGGGTGATTCCAAGGGCTGGGCTGTTCCGTGGGGATTTTTATCAGGCTGCTGCCTGAGATACCAGAGCAAGCAGGAAATCTGGGGTTTAAGAGGTGCTTTCACCTGGTTTGGGTTAAAAGATGTGGATTTGAGTTGGGTTTGTGTCCCTGTGGAAGAGCTGAAGCGTGAGGAGGGGCTGAGGAGCATCACCTCTTACTGCTTGGGAGATGTTGAGGTGGGAAAAGGGCCCTGGATGGGGGCAGGTCCCTTCCAACCCGAACCATTGGATGATTGGACGGTCCCACAGCCCAGGAATTGTGTGTGTGAACAGGAATAAACAACTAGACTCTCAGTGGAGTTTGTGATTCTACTTCCAAAACCCCCCCAAAAACTGACATTCCAGCCATTTCCACCACCAGAAGCACCCACGTTCCTGCACCTACAGCTCTGGAGAACTTCAGGTTCTTCTTTTCATAGGTTCACATGAAGGATAAAGCCAACTTCTGCCTCAGTGGGTTTTGGGGGGGGCTGGGAGGGGTTGCTGGGGAGAGAAAAGAGCTTCTGCAGCCCCTCTAGACTCTGGGGTGCCACCGTCTCCTTGGGTTTCTGCCCTCTTGATTTGTGGGGCCTGTCAGATCCTCGGTGGTGACCAACAACATCCACCTGCCTGAACCACCAGAGCAGCCACACAGCATCTCCCAGGGCTCGTGCTCTGCCTTGGCCAAGGTTCTCCAGTTGCTCCCCAAAAAGCCCCAGGTGATGGCAGGTTGTCCATGGCCTTCACATGTGGTCCAGGGCAGGAAAAGCAGCACGTGCAGGAGCAGAGCACGAGGTTCCTCTCTGTTTAGGTTGGCTGGACAACCTAAGTTTGGAGAGTTTTCATCTTTGGTCACCTGAAGAAATTAGGTTGGAGGAAAGCAGAGGGGAGCAGAGAGGAGTGAAGCTGCTCAGGAGAGAATGGCCTGGAGGTGGTGGTCAAAAGTGGCTGAGGATGAGCCAGTACATGGCCAGGAAGGCCAAGAAGGTGGCCAAGAAGGGCACCAGCATCCTGGCTTGTGTCAGACCTAGTGTGCTTTAATGTTTTGATTTAAAGCTCCAGCTCGGTTGGGTGATTCCAAGGGCTGGGCTGTTCTGTGGGGATTTTTATCAGGCTGCTGCCTGAGATACCAGAGCAAGCAGGAAATCTGGGGTTTAAGAGGTGCTTTCACCTGGTTTGGGTTAAAAGATGTGGATTTGAGTTGGGTTTGTGTCCCTGTGGAAGAGCTGAAGCGTGAGGAGGGGCTGAGGAGCATCACCTCTTACTGCTTGGGAGATGTTGAGGTGGGAAAAGGGCCCTGGATGGGGGCAGGTCCCTTCCAACCCGAACCATTGGATGATTGGACGGTCCCACAGCCCAGGAATTGTGTGTGTGAACAGGAATAAACAACTAGACTCTCAGTGGAGTTTGTGATTCTACTTCCAAAACCCCCCCAAAAACTGACATTCCAGCCATTTCCACCACCAGAAGCACCCACGTTCCTGCACCTACAGCTCTGGAGAACTTCAGGTTCTTCTTTTCATAGGTTCACATGAAGGATAAAGCCAACTTCTGCCTCAGTGGGTTTTGGGGGGGGCTGGGAGGGGTTGCTGGGGAGAGAAAAGAGCTTCTGCAGCCCCCCTAGACTCTGGGGTGCCACCGTCTCCTTGGGTTTCTGCCCTCTTGATTTGTGGGGCCTGTCAGATCCTCGGTGGTGACCAACAACATCCACCTGCCTGAACCACCAGAGCAGCCACACAGCATCTCCCAGGGCTCGTGCTCTGCCTTGGCCAAGGTTCTCCAGTTGCTCCCCAAAAAGCCCCAGGTGATGGCAGGTTGTCCATGGCCTTCACGTGTGGTCCAGGGCAGGAAAAGCAGCACATGCAGGAGCAGAGCACGAGGTTCCTCTCTGTTTAGGTTGGCTGGACAACCTAAGGTTGGAGGGATTTCATCTTTGGTCACCTGAAGAAATTAGGTTGGAGGAAAGCAGAGGGGAGCAGAGAGGAGTGAAGCTGCTCAGGAGAGAATGGCCTGGAGGTGGTGGTCAAAAGTGGCTGAGGATGAGCCAGTACATGGCCAGGAAGGCCAAGAAGGTGGCCAAGAAGGGCACCAGCATCCTGGCTTGTGTCAGACCTAGTGTGGCCAGCAGGAGCAGGGCAGGGATTGTCCCCACAATGCTGGGACACCTCAAACCCTGGGGTCACATTTGGGATGGTGGCAATGCCCTCTCCATCACCAGATAGGAGAGGCTTGGGGTGCTTGGACTTGTCCATCCTTTGGCTTCTGGGCTGGTCTCAGAGCAGTGGTTATGGGGTTGTCTCTCTTTCCTCCTTTCTTCTGCTCTGATGAGGCTACATCTGAAGAACTGGGACCAGTTCTGGGCTCCCCAGTTCAAGAGAGACAGGGAACTGCTGGAGAAGAGTCCAGGGCAGGGCCCCCAAGGTGCTGAGGGGCTGGAGCATCTGCCTGGGAGGAAAGGCTGAGGGAGCTGGGGCTGTTCAGCTGGAGAGGAGGAGCCTGAGGGGGGGTCTCCTCAAGGCTGAGCAGGATCTGCAGGGGGGTCAGGAGGGGGGGACCAGTCTCTTCTCAGCAGTGCCCCGGGACAGGCCAAGGGGCCATGGGGACCAGCGGGGGCAC